ACTGATGTACCCACGGCCAGTCTGCCCTCTGCCTCCTTTTACACTAATATGAGCAAGTTAGTGGAGAGCTTAGTAAAGAATAATGCAGCTTTGGTGAGTCAGGGATACCGGAAGCTTTGGTTCTTCTCAGGATAGAGTCCAACATCTGCTGGAGAGGAAGAGCTGAAAAGCTGGATGGATTAAGCCCTACAAGCAGTGGAGGACTGGGGTGACCCAGAGGTGGTGAAGAAACAGACAGAGAGCCTTAGGGGCCCAGCAGTTGAAGTGATTCGTAGTCTGTGGATGGGGAAGCCAGACTGTGTGGCTATGGATTACATTGAAGCTTTGTTCAGTATGGTGTGTTCGGTAGGGTAGAGAAATTCCCAGATCTGAAGTACAAGTTTGAATACACCCATCAATGTAAGTGTGAGAAGCTGTCTAACTAAATTACTAGAGTGTATCGGGTTCTACATCAAATCATCCTGAAGAAAGGGATTGATCACCGAGATACTGACAAGGGCTGATTAGAACAAGTTCTGCAGGGTGCTAGGCCTAATCACCCAATCGTGCTGAAACTGTTACTCAGGGGGATGAAAGTGGTCCCCACCTATCCTGAGCTGGTGAAACAAGCAAGGGAAGAAGAAGCCATACTAGCTGAAAAGAATTAGGGATTTAAAGAGTTGCCTAAACCTAATACCAAGGAAGAGATAGTGTCCAATTGGATGATTTAAGTGGAATAGGGTGTTCCTGCGGATGACAGTGATAGGTGACTGAGGTGGAAGAGTGCTCGAATCCTCCCATCAGTAAGGCAGTCAGTGAGGCAGCCCCAGTTGAGCTGTTGACTCAAGTCGCTCATGCTTGAGACAGGATGCAACAGGCCCTACTACAAGAGATAGAGACTCAGGCTAAACTGCAAGTGACTTAGCCTGATATGAGAAAATGCTTCTGCTGCAAAGAGCGGGTCACCTTCAAGCTTAGCATCCAAAGAGAAGGGAAGATCCAGATCCCGCAACTGAGTTACTGAAAGCATTACAAAAATTCATGCTTGCCCAGAAACCTCAAGGGGTCTCAGTTAAGGAGCCAGCTGAGAACCCCGACACAGTCCGAAGCTCCAAAAGAGGGAGGAAGAGGAAATTCTCACAGCTGTCCCTATACCCCATCTGGAGATCCAACCACCTAAGGCAGGACTGAGGTCACAGGGAGTCAATGCATCACCATCGCCCCCCCAGAGGCACTGCTAGGTCCTTTCAGCAATCGGCAAGGGAAGGAGGGAACTTAGCCAGCTCTAAGGGGAGAGCTAACCTGCCAAGAAAACCCATAGGCCCCTCTCCCATAGTGTCAGTACAAGTGAAGGGATCTACACCAAATCTCTATTGAAAACTGGTGCACAAGTGATACTGTTATACAGGGATTTCTGTGATAGACATCTAAAACACTTCCCTATGTGCAAGCTAGAAGAGTTAGAGATCTGAGGAATTGGATACGAAAAATTCCCTTACAACAGATACATCCCAATAAAGATTACCTTTGGGCCTTCTATAGCAGAAAAAGACAGAGACCTTCGACTCATTGGTTGTTGTGTGTCTTCGCCCCGGGTGGACCAGAACTCGATGCTGATAAGGACCAATACTGACCTGGTGAGGAGGCTACTAGTTCCACTGGCTGAAAAGGAAGATTCTGTGACCATAGGAATACATCCTCAATTGCATCAGGCTTACACATTATAACCAGTACCCAGTCAGCTGAAGAGGAGAGAGAAGGGTCTTCAAGTTCAGAGGTAGAAATCCTACACGCACATGAAGTGGCCAATGCAGTTAAGATCGAGACAGTTAGCCCACCAAATGTAGGGGGAATGGAAGATCTAATCAATTTTAATGATAAAGACCTCATTCAACCCAGACTCGATAACCCTCCTGCATTTGAAGACACACCCGCAGATGTGGAGTCGGAGCAAGGGATGGGATCCCTCAAGGGCGCAGCCCATGTAAATCCTGCCCTTTAGAATACTGAACTTTTTCCTATTGAGATAAATCCATCCCAGCCTCTGTTGAACTGTTATAGTCTCATTAATGCTATCAATACAGATGCAGACTCTATGCCTGTGCTAGAAGACCCTTCATCCATCCAACTGAGGCAAAACATAAATATGCCCAAAAGATTAGCCTATGATGCATTAGGAGAAAACGCAGATGAACTAATACCTACTATCAGACTACAAAACCCTGTGCCAGACCCCTCTATCATTCATTAGGTAGGAGCTGACCTTGACTCACCCTCTGACACCACTGGGTGAGCTATAGCCCTGGCCTGTCAACAGCTTGAATGTGAGTTAATGGGAGGTATAGGCACATGGCTTCAGCAAAACCCTGAAGTATGCCAACTGTTGTTGAATTTAAGTTGATGTTATCATAATCTGTGAATACAGCCTTATTATTTATCAGTTAAAATAATGTTTGATAATATTTCTGTCTCGTTGGGAACCAACGTTTTCAAGTGGAGGGAGGATGTAGCCCAGTGCTGGTCAACTTATCTGTGCCACTGCCAGACATTTACAATAAGGACTGTGTTGAATTAATACTCTCCTAATGTCCAGCTGTGATAGTGACATTGTGTTTAGTGGCACAGAGAGAGAGGAGGATCCCACAGAGAGCACAGAGAGAGATTGTGGGACGAGAGATTGTGGGACGAGAGATTGTGGGACATATAGTCTGGGACTACAGGTTGAAGGTGCAAGCAGAGACCCGGCTGCTGCAGAGAGCTAAGCAGGCCGTGGGGTCTGGATGGTGTAGAGAGTCTTTGGTGTGTGAGCTACAGACTGCCCACCAGAGCACCTGTCTACAGTTTCATGTTGGCAGAAGTGACTGAGATGTGAGCATTGCCACCACCTGAGTTACAGCAGAATTCCGGTGTCATCAGGCACTAGGCCGAGCATCTCATGTCGCTTGAAGATTCTGCAGGAGCTTTCCAGGACACCCCGGATCCCTGGAGCCGAGGTATCATCAGGATTGGTGAGCAGGCAGAATCCCACAATGTGTACACTCTTCATTAGGGACACTGCATGCAGACACCTTTTAACCTCACACTTGCTTACACGTTTGTGATCTTTACCTGGAATTATATACATAAAATATCTACTATTGCTGGTCCCCATTGCACAGAAGTTCTTCGGGCCCTTATTGAACTAGCTGAAGACCCAAGACATTCTTTCCACCAAGACTCTCCTTGATACTCCTCGATCCCAGAACTCTGTGCTTATCTCTGTACATATGTTAAACTCTGTTTAGAAATGTTCATAGCATAGCTCATACATTCAATATACAGAGTGCAATGTTTTCAGGACCTGTGGCATCAAGATTCTGAGGGAGCAGGCTGACACCATAAAGTCTTCCTTTTCCCCTTTTCTACCTGAAGTCAAAGGCTCCCTATTGAGCATATTTGAAACCCTGCTTGATTTATTGTGTTCATCTCTGCTAATATCACCTGTGTTCACAGTTTGCGTTCCAACAAGGTGGTTATTGCCTAAAGAGTTATTAATATAAACGTTACTTACTGTTTAAATGTGAAAGAGGAGGTGCAGCGCTATATAACTAGACACAATAATAAATAAACCACTAGTGATACACAATAGTGATAAACAGTGACTGAAATTAATACCGCCACTAGATGGTGGCCATAGAGTGAGGAGAGTGAAACAGTCCAATGAAGGAGTGCTCTTGAGATCCGGGACGATCTTCAAACGTCCTATATAAAGGACCAACAGGTGATAAAATATGAAGACTGCGCACTCACCAGATACGCAATCTTTATGCGCATTTGTGTAAAATATCACTGGACCTCCTGTATCCTCATCCTGGTCTGGTCAGATCTGGTCAGCATATCCCTCAAGGCCTGGTATCCACATAGATGTAGCTTTTCCGTAGATTTGGCCGGTTTTCACCAATGCTCAAATAAATAGAAAGGGCCACATAGTGTAATATCCTCAGGTGTCTTTTAGAGGTACAGGATAGCAGGAAAACTGACAAGCAAAAGTATACTGACCAAATGAAAATCAAAGATGGCCGCCGGGGCCCCTCGTGGCGCCGGCGGTAAGGCGTCCGACCTGCTGTAGCTTTTCCTGACGCGTTTCGAGCAATGGCTCGTACTCATAGGGGTGCACCCGTCAGAGAAAGCTACAGCAGGTCGGACGCCTTACCGCCGGCGCCACGAGGGGCCCCGGCGGCCATCTTTGATTTTCATTTGGTCAGTATACTTTTGCTTGTCAGTTTTCCTGCTATCCTGTACCTCTAATAAAGACACCTGAGGATATTACACTATGTGGCCCTTTCTATTTATTTGAGCATTGGTGAAAACCGGCCAAATCTACGGAAAAGCTACATCTATGTGGATACCAGGCCTTGAGGGATATGCTGACCAGATCTGACCAGACCAGGATGAGGATACAGGAGGTCCAGTGATATTTTACACAAATGCGCATAAAGATTGCGTATCTGGTGAGTGCGCAGTCTTCATATTTTTATCACCTGTTGGTCCTTTATATAGGACGTTTGAAGATCGTCCCGGATCTCAAGAGCACTCCTTCATTGGACTGTTTCACTCTCCTCACTCTATGGCCACCATCTAGTGGCGGTATTAATTTCAGTCACTGTTTATCACTATTGTGTATCACTAGTGGTTTATTTATTATTGTGTCTAGTTATATAGCGCTGCACCTCCTCTTTCACATTTATGCTATTGAAGGTCTGATACGGTGCCTTTGTTTGGTGTACAGCTGCTGCTCATTATATATTCACACAAGCGCTCACTTATCTTTTGCTTTTTTTCGGTTACTTACTGTTTGCTGACTGAATAATTCTCAGTAAATACTCAGTTGCATTACTGCATTCAAGTGTCTGTGCAATTGTTTCCTGTGTGCATTATGTCTGAATCCAGGGTGTCAGAGGTGTTGGTGGCTTGCAAGGTCAGGGCAACCTTTGGGGGCCCATGTCTTACAGCGGCTCTAACGAGGGTAGTGCTACACTTACGTGGTATTTTCTTCATTACAGTTTGACTCCTCCATGTTCACAGAATCATACAAGCTTAAGTTCGTACTTGTCAAATCCAGCTGAGTCTGATTCTTGAATCTGATTATCATTCTCTTAAATCCAAAAAGAACACAAGTTGTGCCGTCTATGGTGACATTGACAATGTTCCTGGGATGCAAGTTATTTTCATGGATCACTTCTTTGGTCATTGCCTCCTTTTTTATTATGTTGTAATATAATTCCTGTATCATAAAATAAAATGTATTAACCGCAACATGTCAAATGTTCATAGCATTCAAAGCCATATGTCTGATAAAGAGAATCTCTGCTCAGAACGGATTCACATTACACTGAAACTGCGCTACAACAGATGTTTTCGTGCATTAGTCAGTCCATTCGAAATGTATGGGCTGTAATGCACTTCAGTACAGGAAAATTTAGCACGTTCCATTTTTTTTTTGTTTTGCCTTGTGTTTTGCTGTGCATTGCAGTATAGGCGCAGTATAGAGGTGAACTTGGGTGCCATTCAAAATTTTCATTTTTTTTTTAACAACACTCACCCACACCCTACTCCTACTCTTCTATACAGTATGTCAAAATAATTTAAGTCGTAATTGTAAAATTATATAATATTAATGATAGTCAGAAAAGAGACAGAAAGAAAAGATTTTCATTACATGAATGCAGTATATATTATCATGCCAGTAAAAAAAAAAAAAGTTTAAAAAATAAAATTTCAAATTTTACAGTTTTGGATAAGTATTTTGGCACCAGACATTTCGGTGCCATAACAAGAAAAAAAAAATTTGCAAAAAGTTGCACTTTGCATGGGAATTTTTCACAGAGCTTAGTGCATGAGGCGAAGCTCTGTTGGCTTCCATCATCCAATCATATGCAAGCAAAAAATACAGTTTTTTTTTTCCTACATGTGATTTTGCAAAGTGATACATCACCACATTCACTAAACTCTTGGGAAACTTCCCTTGCAAAGTAAACAGCCTGTTTGCCTTTAGTAAATCAATCTCATAGTGTCATGGTTTGATAGTGACAGGCTTGCAGAGGATTCAGTTATAGTAATATGGTCCTTTAAACAGTAGTGACTTGAAAAAATGTAGAAAAAAGTGGCAATGCTAACAATTCAAGGGCCACAAAATGGCAATCATATAGAATACCTAGGCAACAAACTGTTAATTGTTACGCTATACAGGCAAGAAATGGTCAATCAGTAAAACATAGACAGACAATATGCTGACATGTGACAATATGCAGGAAAATATGTCTATCTATCTATCTATCTATCTATCTATCTATATCTATCTATCTATCTATATATCTTCTGTAGATATAGCTTCTGTAGATATATGAGAATATAGTACACTGTCCCACCTTTTTCAGCCCTGCATGGTGCACCTGTAATGTATCTTGTTCAATGTTGTGGAGGTCGGGATATCCTGAAAAGACAATAGTGGATACTTAATCAGTTTGATAATTTTTCACTTATTCCAATTATTTAAAGCTGAACTCCAGGCAAACATCTGCGCAGGGGCGGACTGACCATTCGAGCACTCGGGCACTGCCGAAGGGCCTGGGGTCAGTAGGGGGCCCCATGAAATGCCCCTGGTACCTTTTATAGGCTTTTTTGGGTGTGCTTTGAGTGTGGGCAAGGAGACAGGGGCCCCATGAGTTGTCAGTCCACCCCTGCATCTGCGTACTCCATTGAATCACATATATAGAAACAGTTTACCTTCCAAAGAATTTGTATTTCTTTCCATCGAATGCTAAGATTTACACAGTCCTACCACACAGCACAGCCAGCCTGGTGACCTGCATTTTTTTTGCTGCAGTCAAGCAACATAGCTTGGTCACCTCCAAACATCTACATACACCATTGAAATGCATATATATGAAAAAGATTTGTATTTCTTTCTATCCAGTTCAGAGATTTAAAATGGTTATAAAGCCTAAACATTTTTTACCTTAACGCAAATGTTTAGGTAGTAGTATCGCTTCTCACCCCCCTTCGTTATACTTACCTGAGCCCTCATTCAGTCCAGCACTGTGCATGTTTGCAGCTCCCCTCACTTCCTGGCTCCTGTGCTGTCAGTCAAAGCCAGTGATGAGGTAGTAGGGTTATAGGCAGCGCGGCTTGGGAACAAGTCCGCCTGAATGCCTTCATAGGAAGCCACTTTCTATGGGGCCACTTGCTGGAGAGGAGGAGACAGAAGCACTGTTTGGGGATCCAAGAAGAGGAGGTTTATGGCCATGCTGTGCAATTCCACTGTACAAAGCAGGCAAGTATAAACTTTTTTGTTTTTTAATTTTTTAAATTTACAATTACTTTAAACTGGCTATACATGGATTGAAATCTGGCAAGTTCAGCATTTGGCCAAATTTCAACCTATGTATACAATAGCTGGTTGCACACAAATGATCTATCAATGTCGGGGTTTTCCCAAATGATCAGTGCCACCGGCTGTAGCCAGCACCACTGATCACTGTATTCTGCTGGTAGGGAAGGCTCCCCAACAGCAGAATACAAAAGCTCAGCAGGAGTGTTTTCCCCATCCACATCGCTACATTGAATCTGTTCATTTTTTCCTTTCAACCTCCTGGTTGAACAAAAAAAAAATTAATCATGTATGGCCTAAATCACACAAACACACATTTCTCACCTGTAATTGGACAGTGTAGGAGTAGGAACAAACTGATAGGTCATCTTTTTTTTATCTCTCCTATCAAGAGAATGCTCCTTATCAGTACATGTGAATGGAGCACACCTGATCGGCTCCTAGAGCTACCCCATTCCTTTTCTTATCTGAGTGCTGTTGTATAAGGGATTCAGGTATTTACATCATAGCATTATATATACCCAACACATTTAATTTATTTATTGAATATATAACTGCATTAACTGTTAAAGAGGAAAGGATCAACCCTACTCCCAGCCCAGGTGAACAAACGGCATCAGGCTACATGTCTCCACTACACACCAGAGCCCATTATCAGCCAACTCTGGGTCACAGGATACAATAGTAATTGCGCACCTGTGAATAACAAGAGAAGTATGGCCAAAAAAGCTTTAACCATACTTCTCTTTTAATTAAGCAGTATACTGTACATGTCAGTTCAGAGACTTCGTTTGTAATTCTTTGGAAACGCATGTCCTTTTAAAGTGTGTTTGAACTAGAGGCAAAGAAGACCAAAATGTAACTCAACTGATCAAGGGTTACATTTTCCATTTCAACACAGCTGCATGCGTTCAAATGGTAAATGCATCATTTGACATGAACCAAAAGGCACCCCTGAATTAGAATTTTATTTTTTCGTGGGAAGCCTTCTTGTTTACACCTCAGTCACATCAGGTGCGACTTGGCATGCGATTTGCATGCCATGCGACTTGTAAATCGTATGCATAGTCGCAACCTATTGTCTGCTATTCGAGCGGTCAAATCGGTGCGGTTCCGACTTGGTTGGAGCCGTGCCGATTTCTAAAGTAGTGCATGCACTACTTTTGGTGCGATTTGCATAGACATCTGTGTCAGATGTCTTGCAAATCGCACCTCAAATCGGCAAGTCAACCGACTTTGAAATCGTGTGACTTCACTGTAAGTCACACGATTTCAAAATCGGCTTTGATGTGACCGGGATGGAAAGGGTTGCAGGCACTGCAGTTTTTTTTTCAAATTATATTTATAATTAGGGATGAGCTGAAGTGTATTCAGATCCTAGTCCAAACCCACCTGAGCTCGCTCACCAGGAAGCTGTCACTGTATTGGATCAACATAAAGCGACCAAGCAATTCCCAGCCCTGAATCCACAAGTATACACGCCCATTGTAACCAGTAAAAAGAGAAAATCCAGAATCTGCTGCACTTCTTCCACTTTATTGATGCTTTCATAAAAAATATCACACACAGTGACGGAAACAAAGAAAAGTTAACGCGTTTCGCGCTTGGAACTACCGCTTATTCATATGAGAGGAGGTTATGAGTAAGCGCTAGTTCCAAGCGCAAAACACGTTATCCTTTCTTTGTTCCTGACACTGTATGTAATATTTTTTATGAAAGCATCAATAAAGTGGAAGAAGTGCAGCAGATTCCGGATTTCCTCTTTTCCTGAGTTACTGCAGATGATCTACGCAGGCACCTTCGCCTATTGTGGTCAGTGGGAGACCGACTTTAATCACCTGGAGCAGCTTTGATTGATATATACACACCCATTGTATACGTGCAGCTACTGGATGGGGAAAATCCCTTCCACAGAAGGTTGGCTTGTACAGGTGACAGCTTCCTGGAAGGCAAGCGCACCAGGGTTTGGATCTTAGTCCAAAAATGCCTCAGCTCATCTCTAGTGATAATGAAGGATTGCTAAAATCCTTGTAATGTATTATATGTAGTTCATGTGGTGGGAATAATTTTTTCCCTTCTAAAAATTAATCACACTTTAGGGTAGGTTACATACACTCATAATACAAAGCATCTACCAAAAATTATAGTATACAAACAATACACTAGGTTAGTCTGAATATATGCGATATCTCTACACATTACACTTACCATAACTCCAAGATAATTCTTTACCTGAAGTTGACTGGAAATTATACCTGTAAAAAAAAAAACATAAAAGAATGCAATCACAAATATACTGTATATTTTATATGTTGTCTACCTAATGAGGAATCAGGGTATACAGAACCTTATCAGAAAATACCTTTAGTATACACTACATGCGCAGCACTGTCCAGATCTCTTCTTATCAAATACCAACTGTAGAATGGTAGCGTTGTCATTTTAGTGAGTATACATGTGCATGGCCAAAATTTTCATTTTGTTTTATCCATTAATTGAAGAATTTACTTTTGTTTTATTCCTTATGTTGAACCAATTCATTTTCGTGATTTATTTTGTATCTTCGACAATCGTTTCGTATATCCGTTTTTATCGGAAGGATTCAATATTTTCTAATCTGAATTCATTGTGAAGAATAGCTGGTTGTTAAGAATGCTGTGGCTGCCCACTTCTTAACAACCATGAATAACAAACAAGTGCTGGGAAAAAAAAAACAGCTTGGGTGTCCCCCCCAATCCCTTTGGGTCTGGTATGTATTTTAAAGGGAACCCCATGCCAAACTTTTTTAAGAAATGGTGTGGGGTCCCCCAAAATCCATACCAGACCCTTACCTGAGCATGCAGCCTGGCAGGCCAGAAAAGGGGAGGGGGGGACAAGCGAGCGGCACCCCTCTCCTGAACCATACCTGGCCACATGCCCTCAATATGTTGATGGAGACAAGGACCTTTTCCCCACAACCTTTGTCATGTTTCTCTGGCTTTTTTTTTTTTTTTTCATGTGGGTCAGTGTTCATCGTGATTGATGTTGGATTCAGTTTGGGGGACATTTTTTTTTTTAATATAATGTCAAAAACTGTGTTTGTGTTTTTATTTACTTTTGACACTTTTTCTAGGGAATAATTAGGGGTACACAGTACCCCTACTCATTCACATGGGGGTTGGGATCTGGGGCTTCCAGATTCCAATAAGCCCCCTGCCCACAGACCCCAACAACCACCACCTAAGGGTTGTGGTGAAGAGGCCCTTGTCCCCATCAACATGGGGACAAGGTGATTGGAGGGAGCCCCCCTCCTCCAAAGTACCCCCCCATATTGAGGGTAGGTGGTCTGGTATGGCTCAGGAGGGGGCACTCGCCCGTTCCCACCTCCCTCTTTTTTGGCCTGCCGGGCTGCACTTTGGGAGGACCCCATGCAGTTTTTCTTTTTTTTTTTTTTGACATAGGCTTTCCCTCAAAATCCATAACAAACTTGAAGGGCCTGGAAGGGTATGGATGGGGGGGAAACCCCCATGCTGTTTTTTTTTTAAATGCCAGCACTTGTTTACATTCGGCTATTAGCGTGGAACCCTGCTGACAGAAGATGAGTCATGGTAGTTAAAGACATGGCAGCCGCCCGCTCTTTAACAACCAGCTATCAAAACAAATTGTACATGTTGATTAGTGAGCACTATCCCACCTCCTACACATAACAGGCAGCACTTTCCAGTCTTTTTTTCTGTCATAGATTTCAGCTTCTGATTTTCAGATCCTTCCATGTGTTTGTTTTACTTTGTTCCAATAAACACTGATTTTAAAAACACTGTAGTTTAAAACACACACATTCTTACAAATGTAAGGGAGGTGGGCTGAGCTGCTATTGGCAGCTGTAAACCATGCACAATGGATCCCTAGGAACAGTCAAAGCAGATTTTTTTCTGTACTTTTACTCAGCAAGGCTGCAAGCACCATTTTAATGAAAAAAGGATTTGTACACCAAGTCCATAGTATTAAACAAACAAAACATCTGCTCATATAAGTCAGTAACTAACAACTAGGCAGTACATGTCATTTTTAGTGCTCTGTCAGTACTCAGCCTTCTCACACAGCCGCACATTCCGACAGCAGAGAGTGAGAGACAGCTCTCACAACATCCCACATCACACATATAAAGGCCCGTAGACCACTATACCCAAAAATGAGGTTTGAATACCAGATGTGGACCTAGAAATGGAGGCTTTGACTGACCTAAAGTTCTACAAAGCCTCCGGGCTCCGGAACTTATTTAGATTTTGAGAAAACAAAAGGTTTGTTTTTTCAACATTAGTAATAAGCGCTGGAGCCCCTCATCATGGGTAGGTAAGAATTCTAGGTGACCAGTTTACAATCCTGCCAGCCAGTGCGTCACTAAATAACCTATATAATCAATATTCTGAGAGTGCATATCAAGCCTACAATGTACAACATAAAATCATATTTTATTATCTTATTTGATTGCTTTTGAACCTGTAGTAGCCTCAACTGAAAATCTAATGTAAGATTTAGAAAACGCCTAATAGTGATTCTTCAAAATAGAATCATTGAGGACCATGTAGTCCAGACCCTGCTGGTACATTGGTATAAACTACCATTTAATTATTACAACTATACAAGGGCTAGTTGAGGATGAAACGAGCTAGACTAACAGTATGCTTTGGGGCTCTGAAAAGAAAGCAAAGTAGATAAGAAATCCATGCAAACGTGGGGAGAGCATACAAACCTAACGAATATAGTATATTTGATAGTAATCAAACCTAAATTCCCAGAACTGGGGGGGCGCATACGCGGCGGCACGGGATGGACGCGCTTTAGAGACAGCTCCGTCCACCCGCCAGCAGAGAAGCGGCACACTACGGCCCCAGGGAAAACAAACACACAAAATCCACTTACCGGAGGTGCCTGCGGTCCACTAGACATGCCCCGCAGGAAAAAAAGTCCGGGGCAACCAGGGAAACTTACTAACTTCTTCCCGGCCGTTGTGCCGGGAATCCAAGATTGCGGCCGCCATGCAAGCACACAGGGAGAAAGCAGAGGCCAGGAGGAGGACTACAGGTCCCAGCCAGTCGATCCCAGGCTGCAGCATCAGCTCTATTAAGGGGACCCTGGTGAGTTCTCACCCCCACTCTCACCCACGACCTGCAGCCCAGTTAAATCAAGGCCACGCTTAGATAGTGACCCTGATGACACCTGCCAGGCCCTAAACTTTCCACCTCAGCCACCACAAGCCACTTTGACTGGTATTGACGCATTCCCAGCCTCTGACCAACCATTGACGGAAATCTGCATGAAGAACATGCTGACGTCACTGCGCCAAACTCTGCATAACGATATATCGGCGCCGCTTACCCAAATTACCACACTGGTGCAAAGACAAGAACGCAGAATCCGCCATATTGAAAACAATATAGCAGACATAGTAGAAGCGCACAATGATTTGATTGATGCTCATGCAGACCACGCATCAGATATCGAACAACTCAACCAAAAATTGGCCGACATGGAGGATCGTTCGCGCCGCAAAAATATATTAAATTTAGGGGGATCCCAGAAACGGTCTCCAATGACGCATTAGTGCCGTATTTGCATCATTTCCTCAAACTTCTAATCCCAACACTCTCTCTGAAGTAGAGGCCATAATCGATCGAGCCCACCGACTACCTAAGCCTTCATTCCTAGCAGCATCCGTCCCTAGAGATGTGCTCGTTCGAATACACTTCTACCATATTAAAGAGAAAATTATGTTGGCGGCTAGAAATCCACCTCCACTTCCATCCTCACATGCGAATCTGCGTCTCTACGCCGATTTATCTAAGGCTACACTTTCCAATCGGAAAAAAAAATGATACCAATCACGAAAGCGCTCAGAAATCACAACATGGCCTATCAATGGGGATTCCCCACTAAATTAATAGTACGACACCAAGGCAGAGTCTATACTATTAAAAGCTTGGAGGCCGGTCTGGACTTCCTTAAGGCCTGGAGTATTTTGCCTGCAGACCCACAGAACAACAACCCTGGATCCGTCCAAAACATGGCAGCAACTTGAAAGACTGTGCGGCACATGCTGCGTTTATACTACTTAATTGTTTTCCCTGGTGGCGTTCTCTGACCACCCCTATCTCTGGCGATCGGCCTACACCCAAAGACTACCACTTTTACAGTTTTGTGTAGGTGTGACCCTCCCAGAGGTCACACCGGTTTGACTCCCCCAGTTTTGAAGTAGCATTCTTGGCTACATAGCGTACTTGCATTATGAGCAAGTGTTTTTTTAATGTTTTTGCTTTCCGTTACACCTGTTCCTTCCCCTGGCACCATCAAATATATATCCTTGGCACAAGACCTCAACCTTGTGATCCTGATTACCCACCAAAAAAAATTTCCCACATTTGTTTCTACTCAGAAAACCTGCCTACAAATGATTACCATCACTTCTCTTAATGTGCGAGGCCTCAATTCCCCTTTCAAGAGATCAATGCTTTCAAAAGAAATTAGAAAGACTCAAACAGATCTAATCTTCATACAAGAATCCCACTTTGCCACAGAAAAGACCCCTAAACTCTATCTGCACCGATTCTTACAGCTATTCTTGGCAACGAACAAAAAAAAAAGAAAAATGGGGTAATTATTGCCGTTAATGACGCTCTCTCTTTCCAACCTACTTCCACTGTAATCGACCCACAAGGTCGATATATTATTTTAATATGCCAAATCAATGAGATTACTTACACTTTGATGAATGTTTACGGTCCGAACAACAAGCAAATAAGATTTTATCATAAACTCTACACCCTTATCTCCCAACACAAACAAGGCAGACTCATCATTGGCGGAGACTTCAATGTTCTTAGTGATTCACTCTTGGGATCCTCTTCTAAAAAGAAATCTATTAATCTTGACCTCAACCGCTTCCTACACGACCATGATCTATATGACATCTGGAGATGCCAACATGGTACACAGAAAGAGACTACACCTACTTCTCACCTCCACATCTCTCGTACTCTAGAATTGACATGTTTCTAACCGACAAATGGACGTTGCAACACGTTTTATCATCCAGCATTGGAATTATAACATGGTCTGACCATGCACCGATCACCATATCCTTGGACGATTGCCGACGATCAGCGATCCCACCTATCTGGAGACTAAATTCTACTCTTTTGAATCATCCGGAAAACCAGAAATTTATTCTGGATGCCCATCACCTCTTTTTTTGAAACCAACACCACCCCGGACATTACT